GCGTTGTCATTGACATCAGAGATCTGTAAGGTGAGAGTGACGCTGCTGGAGAGGGAGGGCACTCCCTCATCAGAGCAGGTCACACTGATGTTATATTCAGAGGCTCTCTCTCTGTCTAAATCACTGTCTGTCACTAAACTGTAGAAATTATTTTCTGTAGACTTCAAAGAGAACGGAATATTTTCATTTATTGTGCATTTGACTTTGCCATTCTCACCGTCGTCTATGTCTTGAATATTAATTATTGTTATGACAGTCTGGCTTTTGACATCTTCAGATATAATATTTGTTTCCGACATTACACTAATTAGGGGATAATTGTCATTAATGTCTGTAATGTCAACTATTACTTTGCATGTGTCTGTTAGACCGCCGTCGTCACTTGCACGTAAATTGATTTGATAATTTCGTGACTTCTCATAGTCTATATTTCCAATTAATCTAACTTCGCCAGTATGTTCATTTACTTCAAACAAATGTCTGACATTATCTAAAGTGTTTCTGATGGAGTATGTTATTCTTCCATTCGATCCATGATCAGCATCTGACGCACTAACTGTCGTCACTACTGTTCCTTTTGGTGAATTTTCTGCAACGGTGGCTTTATATACAGACTTTGTGAAAACAGGTGCATTATCATTGGCGTCTAACACCGTGATGAGGATTTGCATTGTTCCAGACATTTGAGGTTCTCCTCCATCGACTGCCGTTAGCACTAACGACAAATGTTCGCTTTTCTCTCTGTCAAGAGGCTGTTTTAAAATCATCTCCACGTTCCTCGAACCGTCTGCTTGATTATGTAGTTTCAAAGCAAAGTTATCAGTCGGTTTCAGGATGTAGGTTTGGAGACCATTTATTCCAACATCTAAATCCACCGCCCCTTCTAAATCAAATTTCGATCCGGTCACTGCAGACTCGCTTATTTTAAATCTAATATCGCCTTTCTCAAAGACGGGGGGGTTATCATTTATGTCTACGATCTCGACGATTATTCTGTAAAATTCAACGGGTTTTTCTAAGATAATTTGAAAGTGCATAGCACAAGGTACTGTCTGGCCGCAGAAGGTCTCTCTGTCTATTCTCTCTTTGATTAGGAGGACTCCCCTATCTTTATTCAGCTCAATATATTCTCTGCTATCACCAAAAAAGACACGAGCCTTGCGTGATTTCAGTCGTTCTACATCTAAACCCAAATCCTCTGCTATCCTTCCAACTACCGAGCCCACCGACATTTCCTCGTTAATGGAGTAGCTGACCTGCCCGAGCACAGGACTGACAAAAAGGACGGAGATGAAAAGCAGTACTTGCCGTCTCATTGTTCTCCTCGACACTATGGTACAAACAGAAACACGCCCTTTCTATTGGAATAAAATGCGTCAATGTAAAATCCAAGGAAAAGGCAGGAAGTCCGTGCTTAATCTCAAAGGAGCAAATGAAATAGTCCATACGAGAAAAAAACGTTTGAGTATCGACTCGGACTCGTCGTGCGCTCCGTCTAATATGCTCCTTTCTTCGCTGGCGTTTTAAATGGGGAGGCATGTTGGCAATATGCTGTTGCAGAGTAACATGCTGGACTACAGCGTCCCTAAGAGTACAAACTGCAAAACTGCAGGAAAAGTGTTTTAAAATAACCGGATGAATAGCAGACTCTGGAAGTTAAAAAATAAATAAAAACAAAATGAACCAGTCTATATTTTAAATGCGTATTTTATGTTGTTAAATGTGCTTAGATTGGACGAACAATATTATTAACTGAAAGCTGTTGCATGTATGTATTGTACCACAAGCGTAGAAAATTATATAAACCATTCCATGAACAGAAATAGTGAACAAAGACCATTTTCTCGACCAGCTCTGTTTCAGTGTGTTGTGCTGAAATGTGACATGTCAGTTTTACTAATGAACATTATGTTAACACATAACATGGCAACTAATTGCAAAAGAATGAGACATCATATATTGTAATATTCTAACCTCTAGAGGAGAGTCTGGTTCATCCAGGATGCTCTTCTCACTCTGCATCCGCTGCATCGTCCCTGTACAGCTCGGATCCAT